CTGGCCAGTGAGGGAGAGGTCAATTAGTCGAGTTCAGAGGGGAAGTGGCGTTAGAGGCGTCCACAGGGGGGGAAATGTCCTCTTCGTCGATGACTTTCACTAGAACGGAAAAAGAGCAGGAGCAACCACGTGCACCAAGTCACTAACAAAAACGTTAATTGCCCGCCAAGAGGTCCATTTTAAACAAGCGGATCAGACCTACCGGGTCGGCCACTACACCTGAGCAAAATGAGTTTATTTTGATGGAGTTGATTCCAGTTATCTCATAAAAACAACTATATGCGGCTTTAATTTAATATTATTTGGTCACTTTCGAGACAATTATATATTCATTTGCGTAAGTTTACCAAGAATTAAATGTTTAACACCAATTTCGTATGCAGGTGTGTGGGAAATAGATATCTAGGTGGCCCTACGTGACAGTTTTGCCCTTATTTCAGATGTATTTACACAAATACAACGACACCGGACACAAAACTGAGTCCATTTAGCTGCAAACGCAGCACACTGACGCAAGACAATTCTGAGTTCACAAAGTGTTCTTTTCTGCCACCGGAGTGTTGCAAACCCAGTGCATAAACCATTCCGCCTTTCCAAATTCTGATGTAAGGAGGTGCTACTGCCCTAGATGATAAGGGATGGAAGGAAGTAGTGTCTCAAGTTAGTCGGCTTAAGAAACTCCTACGACCGCCGGCAGTGGTAAATAGAAGGCTGTGAATGAGTGTGATCTTGGAGGGGACAAATGGAGGTGGGGTTGAAATGAATGCAGCTGCGAAGTTGATCGATTGATTTTCGCTAAGTACCAACTTATAGACCGTAATGCTGACACGGACAACTTCGTGAGGGGTAAATACTAACGGGAGGCTGGTGTTGTGCACACTAAGGGTCCTTCGCGGAGGAACTACGACACAGAGCTGTTGCCAAAAGACAGGAAAATCTCCTCAAGTCCATGCGGAGTCTCAGTGGCTATTCACGCTCTATCCCACAGACGTAGTTTGAAAGGCCTTGATCAGGCACATATTACAGAAGCTGGCCTGGCCTAAACGGTGATTGTAAAGGGCTCAAAGATAAGACACAACAAAATGCAGTGGCGTTATTCTATTTTTCAAGGTGCAATAATCGCCCCAAAGACGTGGTGGCCTTTGGCATGATGCACAAGGTTACGAGCCTAAAGGACGTTCAATCGCCACTTATGGCGCATATTCAAGGTCGTCTCCCGTGCAGCCACGCGTACGGTGACTCTACACAAGGCGTCTGTTGCGATACTGCGCCTATCGCGTGTACTTGCAAGTGCACACCACTGACAGTCTCTTTTTTGTCAGATGAGCGCTGCCCAAACCGATCAATCGTCTTCGAGGCCGACTCAGGCGCTGTGACAACTCACATTGGGGAAGCTGTTCTCGTGGCAAAATAAAGACTGCCGCGACCCGGGATCGAACCGGGGACATTTAGATCTTCAGTCTAACGCTCTCCCTACTGAGCTATCACGGCACGATTGCGCGTGCCTAGAAAAGGTACTAGTTGCATTCACTCACTCAATCCCACGCACAAACACATCAACTGCGCTTATGTCTGGCTACAATTGCACTGCCAACACCATACGAATCACCGTGTAACATCGTACCATCATAGCTGAGTCATCTGCGACCATTGCCACTAACTTTGCTGGAGTCGTGCATCACCATCGCGGCATTTTAGGGAGGTCATCATAACAGTAATCATGTATTTATCATCCATTTAATGAGGTCTCGAGGAATTCGCCCGTATAATGAACATGTTGCATGATATTTGTAACTAACTGTATATGTTGTTGCTTAAAGCCTAAGTACATGTTTTTGAACATTCTAC